CGTAACCCTGTTTTGCTGGTATCCATTGGCGATTAACACATTTGAGAGATTCTGTAACTCAGTTGTCAAGTGGTCTTTGTCAGCCAGGCGTTTGGTTCTGGAGATGAGAGTCTTGGCTACGGAGTTTATTTGTGCAGGGTGGTGGTGTGATTGTGCATGTAAGTAGCGGTTGGTGTGTGTTTTTTTCCGGTAGATAGTGTGTCCTAGGGAGCCATCAGGTTTTTTGTAGATTAGGACGTCAAGGAAGGGAAGTTGGTTGTTGGCTTCTATTTCCATAGTGAATTGTATTTTGGGGTGTAGGCTGTTGAGATGTGTGAGGAAGCTATCTAGTTTTTCCTTCCCGTGTGGCCAAATTACAAAGGTGTCGTCAACATATCTGAGCCACAGTTTGGGTTTGTGTTCTGACTTGTCTAAAGCATTGGTTTCAAAGTGTTCCATGTACAGGTTTGCGATGACCGGTGAGAGGGGTGATCCCATAGGTGCTCCTTCTATCTGTTTGTATCTTTGTCCATTGTGGATGAAGTACGTGTTGGTTAGGCAGTGGTTGGTCAGGTCCAGGATGTATTCGGGGGGATTGTATTTGTTTTGAATGGCTGTCAAGGCTTCATTAATGGGCACTTGTGTGAAGAGAGATACAACATCGAAGCTCACAAGTAGGTCATTGGGATGTAGGTTTTGCTTCTTTATTATTTCTATGAACTGGAAGGAGTTTGTAACGTGTGAAGATAAAATTAGCAAAATCCTCCATAAACACAATATCAAAACAGCCTTTTGCACCAACCAAAAAATAGCCAATATCCTCAGAAACCCCAAGGATAAAATCCAGTTGGAAAACCAAGGGTCTATGAAATACCCTGCAAAGTCTGCCCAGCCACGTACATTGGACAAACAAACAGACGAATAAATGCACGTATCGCAGAACACAAGAATGCCGTCAAAAAAGAAGAAAAAACTTCCTCTCTTTTCCAACACATGAAAGAAACAGGACACGAAATTAATTTTGCAGATTCCAAATTGCTCTTTAACATGGAACATCACCACAAGAGAATAATCATGGAAGCCATCGAGATAGAGAAACACCCTCACAACATGAACAAGCGTGACGACACATCCCGCCTGCCAGACATCTGGAAATTAGCCCTCCCCACAAAAACCGACACCAGATCCAGAGGCACACAGAACGCCATCACCAATCAACCACACCAGACCCAAACCCAGACCCTCTCCACAGATAAATTACAGACACCATCCAGTAGCCAAACCATGGTGGCACCTCCGGATGCTGCACCCCCCTGCAATCCCTACACAGATCTGGCTGGCACAGGACACAAAACCACAGCTCGCCCCTATACACGAAGCCAAGCCAGAGGACAACTAAGTGCAGTACAGCCATCTTCTCAGAAAAACTCTTCACAAAGCTCAAGAGGTCAAGACACGAAGGCTTTAGCAACTAATCCACACCTAATGACCCACCTAAGTGGTACTCAGAATATCACTCAAGAAATCACTCAAGATATCCCTCAAGTAATTAAGGAACAAAAGAAGAAAAAGCACACTAGCCTGGGAACTTCCTCTCTACCCAGAACATTGGAGGCTATACACCACACCCCCTCAACAGTATTTATAGGAACTCAAACACTGAGATCCTGCTCTGTTCCAGTAACAAGAAGCCGAAAGCACCAGCCTGAAGATGACGAGTGAGACCTCGTCGAAACGTCGCCTAGACACCCCAACTTTTACACGGGAAGACACCCGAGGACACCAAAACCTGCATTCCTGTACCCGTGAAAATCTACGAAAGCATATATATATATATATATATATATGAAAATTATGATGAGAAGAATACATTTTGTCTTACTACTCAGGAATAAAATAAAGGTGCTTAAGCTGGAAATGTGCTTAGCTTTCAAATCCTACATATTAAACACAGCTTGCTCTTGAATAAGAATTCTGAACATTCTTTAAAACCTATCTCTATGAAGACATAAAAAGATATGAGAATTTTCTGGAAGTGACAGGATAAAGACACACAAGGCTTCCAATTGGCACTTGCTGGTTACAGTTTAAGCAGTGGTAGTTGCTTCAGTTCGGCGATAGCTGAAGACTTTTATTCTACATCCCATTAGTAAGAATAGTTGGGAAGAACTGCCAGTTGCCCATATCTTTGCGTTTATATGGAGCAAGCAACTGACGGAAAAAGAGGGTAGAGTTACAGTACTGTGATACTGTTACATACAGGTGGCGTGCAACAGTTGTGTGACTCCTGTGTATCTCATGCAAGGTTATTATAATAATTAACATTTATACACCTCTTAATGCTAAAATAGGCTTCTCAGCAGATTACTGTTAGAATTTCTGCTCCGTGATTGCAGTCATGGGATTGTTGACAGTGTATGTTTTGACTCCACAGAGTGGGAAGTGACAGAGACAGGATGTTTGTGTTACTGTGTTCCGTGAAGTGGGACTATTGTCCTTTGTTCTTTCTCTCTGCTATCTGATGCTAGAGAGAGAGGGAGCTATGTTGCAGTGCTCTGTGTGTGTTTATATGTAAATAAAGTTGATTAGCCAAAATGCTGAGTTGCTGAGGTCTTTTATGCAAGCTGCGAAGACTCTGTGGATCCCTAAGTGTGCTGGTGTCTGTTGGCATCGTTCGGTGTGATGTTCGGGCTCAAGAAATCTTTTGAAGCTCCCGAACGATAGACCAGGAGGGAGAGAACATGCCAGTCGGGCATGTGTCTCTGCCAGGGTCCTACTCGAGTGTAAGACAAGCTCCTGGCATAAAAACCAATTACATGAGAATTAAAATATACATGTACATAATTGAAATGTGCATTAAAACAACACAACAATTAAAGCAGGATAGTCAGTCAGAGAGCAGGTGCCTCTTCAAGGGAACCGGTGGTATGCCAGTACAGATGAGACCTCTCATATTTCAGCAAAGAGTACTTTCTATAACACTAGTGCCACCAGTGAAAACGAAGTCTTCCACATCATAAGTCAATAATCATTAGGCCATGGCAAGTCTAACTGGGTTCCATTTGTTGTTGATGCTCTTATCGGGTCACGGAGAAGCCCACCAGTACAGAAATAAAATAAACTTTGGAATATAAAGTGAAAATACTAAAAAAGATCTTGAAAGGAAAGAGAAATCGTCTGTTTGACTGGAGCCAGGATGAAGCATAAGAATAATTACACTGCTCAAATACGTTTGGGTTCTTAAAGACCACTTCAATAGATTTCCACTATTTCCTCTCCTGAAGGAAGTTGTTCTTGCTATGGTCTTCTCCCACCCCTGCTTTTTTCCTTTCCATTTGGGCCACGACTGTGAGATCTGCCTCCTTGTTTCTGTGCTCATTATCACAAAATGGAGAAAAGTTATGGCCAAAGCACATCTTTGAAATAAGGTGCCGTGTTCCAGTTTTGATAGGAGAAGATATTAGCACAACGAAAGTTCTTCACATCTTCAGTTACCGTTGGATATGTAGCCAAGGAAATGTCTGGTTCTAGATGTTTGGTTATCTAGGGTTATTGGCTTGTTTTTGTTCTTGGTCTTGCTTCTGTTACATATTTTGTGCTCACATTTTGTATTTTTATGAGGCTCCTCACGGGGTCTCTGCCATGGGAGCATAGTCACCCAGTGCTTTTCCAGCTGCACTGGCTCCCGGTGGAGTGCAGGGTCTGAATTAAGGTGCTGGTTTTGACCTTTAAAGCCCTTCACGGCCTAGGACCCTCGTACCTTCGGGACAGCATCTCCCAGTATGCCCCACGGAGGACCTTAAGGTCCATAAATAGCAACACCCTAGAGGTCCCAGGCCATAAGGAAGTCAGATTAGCCTCAACCAGAGCCAGGGCCTTTTCAACACTGGCTCCGGCCTGGTGGAACGCTCTGTCTCCTGAGACCAGGGCACTGCAGGATCTGATTTCTTTCCGCAGGGACTGTAAGATAGAGTTGTTCCGTCTGGCCTTCGGCTTGGAATCAATTTGATTCCCTCCCCCTCTTCTTTTTTCCTTTCTCCTCCTGTGATAGAACTCCTATTTGGGGACTTCCCTGGCTTTTTTCTGGCCCATGTAGGACCAGTCTGGAAAGTTAGCCTTGGTGAAGACTTGACGTTTTCATCCCCAAAAAAGTTTTTGATTTGAGTTTCCATTGAAATGAGGCTGTATTTTAATGTTTTAATGTTGTATTTTAATCTTGTTTTTAAGTTGTATTTCAATCAATTTGTTTTTATATCAGGTGTTAGCCGCCGTCTTGGCTGGGGAGGGCAGGGTATAAATAAAATTTATTATTATAAAGCAAATTCACTGTTTTTTGCATCTTTCTCGTTACACATAAGAAATTAATGAACAACAGTGCTAACATCTAGGCATATATGGCAGGTGCAGAATGATTTTTCTTATCTAGCACAGTACCATTTTAAGGCAGTTGTCCACAACATGGCCCCCAAACCTATTTTAAGGTGTTCTGTATCACAGTGCCTCTTCCTTTCCGCACAGTATCAACAAACCGAGAAATGAATTTTGAGTTCAGGGAGATAGTTACAAGTCCGCTCAGGTCTCAGGTAAGACCAGCAAGGTTATTTTCCCTTTCAACTTAACTCATATTCGAAGTGTAGTTGCAGTAATCCTGTTATTGGAAAATATGCTATGGCATTAATTCAAAATCGGACATCAGGGGCCATAACCAGGCATCATTCTGCATATGAAACGCACATCAGCCTCACTCAAGTTTCTGAATATGGAACAATGGCAGTCTTTGACCCTTAACATTTAATTTTGTTTTATACAAGATAAGGGCAAAGTCTGCCTTTAGATGCATATTTTCTACCTCCCGCTGCGATTAAGACATGAATACGCATCTGAAAAGGAATTTTGTTCTTAAGTGTCTGCATATGCCTTTCACCTTACAAATCATGAATTTATTCTGATTCACTCATCCCTAACTTTTCTGACTCTCTCTCTCTCCCCCCCCTCTCCCTATCCCCCTATTTCCCCCACAGCTTTCAAGTAGCATTTTGGATATATACAACAGTGACCAAGGAATGCCAGCTGCTAATATGGGCCTCACGAATGCATCCTGCCCATCTAATTTGCCTGTTAAAAGGGAAATCACAGGTAATATAACGCTGAGATGTTGGCACAGGCTTATCATTTTGAAAATAACAGTACCAGCCTTTCTCCCACCCAACGGAAGTCCATTCTGCATGATCCTAGCCAGTGCTTTTATTCAAGAGAAATAGGTGTCAGAACTCACCAGGACGCTGTTATAGTAAGTCATCAGGTGACTCGGGGCAGCCCTGAACAGATGCCGGTTTGACAACAGCTGCGTTCACTGCCCGCGGAAGTGCTAAAACCTATGGCAAGCTGTCTCCCTAGCTAGTTTGGGGGTTGCCCCTGGTTCTGGTGCAGTCAAATAAATGTGTCCCCACTCCCCTGTTATCTTAGATTCAGGTGTTTGGCTAGGGCAGCTCGGAAGGGATCTCATGCAAACTGAAACTGAAATACTTTATTGTCACTTGTACAACTTGTATACAGTGAGATTACACGAGCAACCCTCACTCAGCTCTCTTAGTCTTAATTCCCCTCATTTACTGACGCAGACCCACCAAACCCGAAAGTCAGTTGCCCTGTTGTTATCTTTTCATTCAGCAGCCTAACAGCCCACAGATAGAAGCTGTTCTTTACCCTGTTGGTGCAACTAATCATGCTTCTATATCTTCTGCCTGAGGGCAGGAGATCAAGAAAGTGCCGGCCAGGGTGTGAATCATCCCTGAGAATTTTCCTCACTCTCCTGAGGCAATGTTCTTCCTCAATGTCATCCAACGGATTCACGGGACAGCCCATAATATCTTGTGCTGTATTCACCAGCCTCTGTAGGCACTTCCTATCAGTTGATGACAAACCAGCGTACCACACCGTGATGCAGTATGAAAGGATATTTTCTATTGTGGACCGGTAGAAGGAGATCATCAAATGCACACATGTAGAGGCCTGGCAGGAAAGCTAAAAGCCCACTGCTGCTACACGGAAGACAGATTGAAGAAAAGGAAATACAAATTGTCTCTGTCCTGTAGCTTGACCAATCACAGCTAGGAGCCAGCTGAGTCATGTATCTAAAAAAAAAGTGTAGACACTGGCCAGCTTCTGTTTTGACATGAAACGTTTGTTTTGGGCTTCTCAGAAGTGAGTAAAAGCAAGAAGTGGGTAGGGGGAGTGCTGGTCCACAATGGTGCCCACCTGAGAGGTGCCAGAACTGCGCTTTGGTGAACTCTGGCTGAAAGCTAGCTAAGACTCTTGGAGAAATGGCATTGGTCAGCCAGCAGCCACTGGGAGATGCCCTGCAGCAACTTTTGGCTCCTTCAATGTTCCCTCAGTTATGCACACACAGTTTGCCACCCACCTTTGGCTCTGCACTAGTTTTGACCACTTCCTCCACACTTTAGAGCGGGGTGTGTGAGTGAGAGAGTTGGGTGCCCTCCAGATGTTATTTCCATCAACTCCCACCATTGGCCATACTGGCTGGGGCTGATGGGGGATGCCACATCTGGAAGACACTGCATTATCTCCCCTTGGTTTTGAATGACTGTCTAATAATCTATAGTTGGGTCCAATAATTTATAAGAGCAATGTTTGCAGAATACATGTACTATTAAATATCATATGCCCTTGATGTTTTGACTTATTTGATTCATTTTCAGATGTTGACCTATAAAGGATTTATTAAAAAGGTAAAGGTACCCCTGCCCGTACGGGCCAGTCTTGACAGACTCTAGGGTTGTGCGCCCATCTCACTCAAGAGGCCGGGGGCCAGCGCTGTCCAGAGACACTTCCGGGTCACGTGGCCAGCGTGACATCGCTGCTCTGGCGAGCCAGAGCCGCACACAGAAACGCCGTTTACCTTCCCGCTAGTAAGCGGGTCCCTATTTATCTACTTGCACCCGGGAGTGCTTTCGAACTGCTAGGTAGGCAGGCGCTGGGACCGAACAACGGGAGCGCACCCCGCTGCGGGGATTCGAACCGCCAACCTTTCGATCGGCAAGCCCTAGGCGCTGAGGCTTTTACCCACAGCGCCACCCACGTCCCAAAAGGGTTTATTAGCTGCTACTAATAAACCACATTAAACCACAGAGCCTAGGGCTTGCCGATCAGAAGGTCGGCGGTTCAAATCCCCGCGACGGGGTGAGCTCCCATTGCTCGGTCCCTGCTCCTGCCAACCTAGCAGTTCGAAATCACGCCAAAGTGCAAGTAGATAAATAGGTACCGCTCCGGCGGGAAGGTAAATGGCATTTCCATGCACTGCTCTGGTTTGCAAGAAGCAGCTTAGTCATGCTGGCCACATGACCCAGAAACTGTACACCGGCTCCCTCGGCCAATAAAGCAAGATGAGCGCCCCAACCCCAGAGTCATTTGTGACTGGACCTAACGGTCAGGGGTCCCTTTACCTTTACTACCTTATGACCTTGTATATGATAGGCAATATCTCACATTGTCCAACACAGGGACTCTTAAACTTTGGAGTGACAACACAACTCATCCTGCCGTGCTCTTCTGAGGTCTGACTTTATTCCTGCCTCAGCTACTTTCTTTCTATTCCAATTGTTTTACCTCGGCCCATATTTTGCACACCTGCTCTTTACAATAGTCCCTTGTCCACCACATGGGCAGAATCTTGAAGTAAATCTTTTGGCAACCCTACCCCCCATCACAGCTAGTTTTCAGGGAGATTTTCTCAGGATTTTGGAGGGTGTGGAGATGCAGTTTTAATATATGGCGTGTAAATAAAATAATAATAATAATAATAATAATAATAATAATAATAATAATAATAATACCCCGCCCATCTGGCTGGGTTTCCCCAGCCACTCTGGGTGGCTCCCAACAGAATATTAAAAGCACAATAAAACACCAACCATTAAAAACTTCTCTAAAGTTGCCTTCAGATGTCTTCTAAAAGTCAGATAGTTGTTTATTTCCTTGACATCTGATGGGAGGGTGTTCCACAGGGCGGGTACCACTACCGAGAAGGCCCTCTGCCTGGTTCAGGCAGCAATAGTCTAAAACTGACTCTTCTCTTTATCCCCACTTCTGTCTGCATCATCAATTGAGGATACTATATGATTGGCCCTTGCTCACTTGGTTTTTACTAAGTAGGAACCACGTCGGGGCAGCTGGATTGAATGTGGTGAGGATGTGGTTTTAAACTCCCTGTCTACTCACACTAAGTTCCTGATTCGGATCTGCCCCTCCTGTGGCTGGTATCCAGCATACAAAAATCAAGCATAATCATTCGTACCTATAATCACACCTACGTTTGTCCTTTTATCTTCAGAGACAGAACTGCACCAGATGTCTTTTACTGCCTTCTGAGCCCTTTGAAATGCATGTTTTGAGGGATAAAGCAGGAGCAAAACAAGTTAATACTTTAATTTTGTTTTTCAAAACTGCCCTGAACTTTACATTTCCTCATTAATTTTGCAAGGCCTTGTTCAGGCCTTGCAAAGGTCTTGTCCGGCTTCCTCAGGACAGAATGTTCCCAAAGATGAGTTATTTCTTAGTTCTGTCTAGCTGGGTAAGCTTCAAAGCAGCGATCTTTCTGGATATAAAGCTGCTAATAAACCTAATTACTGTAGGAAACATAGCAGATTCGGGCACATTTGGGCTTCTGATCGATGGTATAAATAAGTTACCGTCCATTAAAATTTGTTCCAAGTTGCCACAAATGACTCTCTTAAAGGTTCACAATACATCTATTCATGGAAAATCCGTATTAATGGATTAACAACTTTAAAAGTTACATTCATTTAATCCAAAGAATGCTAACAACTGTGTACAGTGTTATCAGTGCAATGCAAAAGGAACAAAGAGGGGAGGTTTCCTCTCCCCCTTCCCCAATATGACTATTTAAGAAATCTGATTATTTCTTGCATGATGGGAAGGGAAACTCAAATTCACTCTGGGTGCTTACCCTCCCCATGGTAAAGTACAGAAAATTAGAAAATTGCTAAATGCCATGATCTACTTTTTCAGTTTCTAAAAATTAAAAATGCATGATGGCTATATAAAAAAAATCCCTGGCACACAGAGAACGGCAACACATGCTGTAAACAGCAACTGACAAACTGCAGGAAGTGGTACAATCATCTTCGGTAAATCAGAGAGTACATAAAATTGCTTGAAGGTTTCGCCTGAAAAAGTTGTGCAATTAAAAGGTCCTGTTGTTGCACAGAGCAATTTCTGGAACTGTGACCCAATGACTGTTTAAACAGCTTTTGCTTTCTGTCAGAAACAGATACTCGAGCAATGGCAAAGGAGAGGCAAAAAAAGGATAACCATAATCTCAGTGAGTATATTTACATGAACTGTTGTCCCTAGGTTGTACAGGGTGGGGAAGTACCTGCTAATGCTGAAGGATCTACTTTATGTATACTTTTATAATGCTGAAGTTCCTTTATGTGTGAAGCCGACACAGTACAAAAATGCACATGCGTAAAGGGAGATCAGCCTCATTCCTGACACCCAGAACGTTGTCTTACATATATAATGTTTTGCCTGCACTGAAATAGCACGTTTACCTAGGGGAGAGACCATAGCTTTGCCTACTGAAGGGTGGTAGTCGTTACGCTTCCATGCAGAATGTCTAAAGTTCAATCACTTGCATTTCCAGCTGCAAGGTTCTCAACTGGCAGGACTGAGAGAGGCCTCTTGAGCCCAGGGATGTTGATGAAGTTGGCCCAAGCCAGGCTTGCAGATTAACTGGCTTTGATCTTGATCAAAGCCAGAAGGGAACACCATCTGCCATTCTTGGATTTGCTCTCCCGCCCTGGCTGTTTGTTAGAAAGCAAAAGAACCTTGCACTTAAAAGCAGAGCTATATGACTAATGCCCTATTATTATTGTTGTTGTTCATTTCTACCCCACTTTTATGCCCAAATGACATGTGTAATTTGACTCTCAGTTAGCAAAACCAGGACTGATGCTACTGCCGACTATAGCTGGTTAGGACAGTGGTTCTTGAGTACAGTGGTACCTCGGGTTACATACACTTCAGGTTACATACACTTCAGGTTACAGACTCCGCTAACCCAGAAATAGTGCTTCAGGTTAAGAACTTTGCTTCAGGATGAGAACAGAAATTGTGCTCCGGCGGCGCGACAGTAGCAGGAGGCCCCATTAGCTAAAGTGGTGCTTCAGGTTAAGAACAGTTTCAGGTTAAGTATGGACCTCCGGAATGAATTAAGTACTTAACCCGAGGTACCACTGTATAGATATAAGATATAGATGTGTGCTTGGCCATTGGTCACATTGCCTTTTCACCTTATGTGTCATTCTGTCCGGGTCAGAGAGTTACAGTACTTCGAGCTCCTTTTCATTGATTTGGTTGAGTTCGTCATAACTCAACAGGAATGGTTCAGTTTCTGAGAACGGTGCCCCTCAACCTGAGGGATCCTTTGCGGGATGAATATATTGCGTTAATAAAAATAAAAATAATTTCCACAGTTGGGTTGGCCAGGAGGGGGAATCCTTTGGGGCTGTCTTGCCAGAGATGGATGCTTGGGAAACCAAGCCAAGGCCTCCCACTTTTTGAGGGTGTGGTCTAGGAAGAGGAGTCAAAACATTTAACTTGTTCTCCTAATTAGTAATTAGATCTAGGCTGAGAGCACTCAGATGTGGAGGCTGGGTGTATGGCTGACATTAGATGCCACAATTGTAGTCTGAGAGCAAGCAGTAACCTCTTGACTGAACCTCCTGGCTCCAGCGTGGTTGAACTAGCACCCTACCCCCCGTTATCACAGATTGAGTATTTTCAAATGTTACAAAGAGGGTGGCGTTGTGATGTTTCGAAACAGGCACAGCATTTCACTGCCTACTGATGAATTACATCCGTTCTGTTACATGCTGCTATTATTACAATCTCTTGTTTTCATAGTTGAAAGAAGAAGACGGTACAACATTAATTACCGGATCAAGGAGCTTGGTACACTTATCCCAAAGTCTAATGATCCGTGAGTTCGGCTGTCATTTCTGTCATTGTTTCTACTGCTTAAATATAATGAAAGGGGCTGAAGATGAAATAGATTTGCTAGATGTCAAGGTTAACTTGGACAGTTTGGTTTCACATCATTGTTCTCCTAGCAGACGTCTGCGGAATTGTTGATATTTGATTAATTCAGATCCACCTCCCCTTTCCCTACGTAATTCTTCAGGTTCACATGCAATACTTATAGCATTCTAGGCAGAATCCCCATGATCAGATATGTATATACTATGCAGGGCTGTTATATATATATATATATATATATATATATATATATATATATATATATTACCGGAACTCATCATGACTGCCTCCCTTGTTCTCTTATTATGGAAATGGTGTCCACCTGAGAGGTGCTGGAAGTGAGCTCTGGTTCAGAAAAAGCCCTGGCTCTATGATGTCTGGTATTGTCTTGACAAGTCAATGGAACAGAGAGCTTTTGCAAATATTTTTATTTATTTACTAAATTTCTATCTCACTTTTCCTTCCAACGCAATTAAAAATAAAAGAACAACTTTTTTGAAAAACAATTCAAAACCTGTTCCTCCAAAAACAAGTAAAACAGTCACATATTCTCACAACTGATAAGTGCAAAGTTTCCAGGAATATTATTTTTCAGCCGTCAATTGACTGAGCGAACAGGAATGTTTTTAAATCCCTCCTGAAAGTTAATAATGAGGATTGTATCAGGGAAGACACTCCACAACTGGAGAATTGCCACTGAGAAGGTACTGTGACTGTCCAATGGCAACTGGGCAAGCATGTAACTGGTACCACAAAGATGGCGCACGTACTTATAGGGTCCACAGTGGCTCATAAGAATCTCTGCATAATTGTTGGGTTTTAATAGCTTATATGGGATGGCCTACATGTAGGAATTATGAGCAAAGAATTGTTATAACTGAGATGTTAATACACAAATAAGAATGTACGAACAGTCCTGACAGGTCTGTCCAAAGGCCCATTCAGTTCAGCATCCTGTTCTTGCACATGCCTACAGGATGCTACCAGGGGCTATCGGCAGCTTACAAGCAAGACCTGATAAGTGTACTAAAGTGTCAGCAATTTTTTTTTATTAAAGAAAAGCAGCTTCTAAAGATGATTTTGAGAGAAGAAATGTTGGGGGTGGGGAAGGGTTCTACTTAACCTTTTATATGCTGGCCACTTTCCCCACACTAAATCAGTTCTCCACTCCAGCTAGATTTGTTGTTTGGCTGAAGTGAAATTAATAATAATAATAATAATAATAATAATAATAATAATAATAATAGTTCATTTATACCCCACCCATCTGGCTGGGTTTCCCCAGCCACTCTGGGTGGCTTACAACAGAATATTAAAAACACAATAAAAGATCAAACATTAAAAACTTCCCTAAACAGAGTTTAAGTCAGATAGTTGTTTATTTCCTTGACATCTGATGGGAGGGCGTTGCACTTCCGAGAAAGCCGTCTGCCTGGTTCCCTGTAACCTCACTTCTCGCAGTGAGGGAACTGCCAGAAGGCCCTCGGAGCTAGACCTCAGTGTCCAGGCTGAAAGATGGAGGTGGAGACGCTCCTTCAGGTATACTGGGCTGAGGCCGTTTAGGGCTTTAAAGGACAGCACCAACACTTTGAATTGTGCTTGGAAACGTACTGGGAGTCAATGTAGGTCTTTCAAGATTGGTGTTATGTGGTCTCGGCGGCTGCTCCCAGTCACCAGTCTAGCTGCCGTATTCTGTATTAGTTGTAGTTTCCGGGTCACTTTCAAAGGCAGCCCCACATAGAGCGCATTGCAGTGAAAAACCTGTGCTGCTCCTCTCTGCTTTGAAATAACAAAAAAGCTTTATGGTTTCATGGGTTTCACACACCTCCCCCCAAAAAGCTGAGAAATCTTCTTAAAATTATTGTGGTAAATAGGATTACAAAAGGACCTGTTTTTAACTTGGGGGGGACTTTATTAGATGGTTGCCCAATTTTTTTTATTTGAATTTGAACATGTTGGCAGAAAGAGTTTAAGTTAAAATGATGAAAATAACTGGACAAGGAGAAACAGGAAGAGTAGGAATAAACAGACATCAGACAAATGGAAGAACTGGGGGCGTGGGTGGCGCTGTGGTCTAAACCACTGAGCCTCTTGGGCTTGCCGATCAGAAGGTCAGCAATTCGAATCCCTGTGACGGGGTGAGCTCCCGTTGCTCTGTCCCAGCTCCTGCCAACCTAGCAGTTCAAAAGCACACCAGTGCAAGTAGATAAATAGGTACCGCTGTGTCAGGAAGGTGTTCCCGTGCGCTCTGGCTTCCGTCACAGTGTTCCGTTGCGCCAGAAGCGGTTTAGTCATGCTGGCCACATGACCTGAAAAGCTGTCTGTGGACAAACTCCCTCGGCCTGAAAGTGAAATGAGCGCTGCAACCCCATAGTTGCCTTTGGCTGGACCTAACCATCCAGGGGTCCTTTACCCTTTTACCTTTACCCAGTGATCTGTACTGGGATGGGTGATGGTTTAGTAATTCATAAATGATTTGGAGTGAGCCATCAGGTGTGTGCTTTGGTGATGACACCAAATTATTCAGAGTGGTAAAAACAAAAGGGGAATATAAAGAGTTCCAAAAGGATCTCTCCAAACTGGATGAATCAGCAATAAATGGCAACTGCAGTTCATTTTAAGTTAAGTATAAAGTGAGCTGTGTGTCATCCTTCCGCCACCCCTTAACCTTGCATGGTGATGGCTTCTGAACCGGTGGTGATTGACAAGGAAGGAGATCTTGGGGTCATGTGGATAATCCAATGAAAGCATTGGCCCAGTTTGTGGCAGCTATGATAAAGAAGCATTCTACGTTTGGGAAAATTTAGAAAAGGACTGATTTTTCAAAAATGCCAATATCATAACACCTTTAAAAAGTCCATAGTGCAATCACACCTAGAATACTGAGTGCAGTTCTGGTTGTCATATCAGAAAAAGGACATCGTAGAACTGGGAAAAGTGTCCAAAAGTACAACCAAAATTCTCTGGGGCTTTTTAGTTCAGAAAAAAAGGGAAACCCTGATTGAAGCCCACCTCCCTATTGCAAATGCCTTCCTGTGCACTTCACAACTGGTACCGAGTGAGCTGTAAACCTCTGCTTCCTACAAGAGGGGGTTTGGCAAAAGACTGCTGTAAATAGCATGATTTTAAAAGCCTAAAGCGGCATTAGAATTAACTGCTCAGTTTATTATTTACTGCCTATGCTTTCATCTTTGGAGTTCTAATGCCACTCCACTAAGCCTAAATGGTATGCGGTATTATGATTGTGATGCAATCATGTAGCTGCTTATTTATACAAACATTATGCCTTTCATTTTCTCGCGCATACAGCTCCACATGATATTGGGGTGGAATATCTCTTTGACACATTTCCCCCTTCCAAGAGCTAAGAAATATTTGATTAAATTAAGGATTTTTATAACAATACAAAGCTATGTGAGACTAACATAAGTATACGGTTGATGTGACAAGCTGCATTGAATGAACTCACCAGCGATAAACTTAGTGCAGTCATAGGCCACACACACACACACACACACACATACATATGTATATATTTACAGTGCACCGCGCTGTCCTTGTTTGCAGCAGCAACTCAGCCAGAGGGAAGACAGGCAAGTAAGGCAACCCCACTGCACTGTTAACTACCGCTGTTCATATAAATCCCGGAAAAGATTCCCTGAATAGTAATGCAACATAGTGTACAACATAGCGTATAAATTACAATGGGTGATAGCCAACTAAGTCATATGCAGAGTAAACCCACTATTAATAGAATAGTTAAGAAGCCCTTGTACAGTATAGTAAAAATTAATTCCAGAATGAAAATAAGTGTCAAAAGAAAGTAATAAAGTGACTTTTTTGTGTCTGGAAGAACTAAATGCAACATTATTTACAGACCTATGTAAATTAAGCACCTTTATCTTAGTGGTTTTATTCTATGTATGACTTAGTTGGAGATCACCTGCTTGGCATCTCTTTGTTGCAATCCAGACCTAACTAAACTTGATGTTGGCTCTGTTTGGATCACTGAGATTGGGAGAGGAGGGGATGGACTGATAAAAATATGAAACTTCCAGAAAGACAGAAATTCCAGGTCGCTAGGGTATAGATCACAGCTTAAGCCAGGACCAGTATACCCAGTTTGGCTTCACTGGCCCTCATTTGAAAATCTCTATACTTGTTGATTAAACCCAGATGTTTTGAGGGAATGACACACTGTTTATTTGCATTGTTTTGCCAGACCTCCTTGTAAGAAGCAGCAGCTCATTACTCAGAACCAATTATATTGGCACCTTGGTCCTAAAGATCTGTACAGTTGTGAAAGTGTATAAGCTGGCAGAAACTAACATAGATTCTGTGACACCCTATGAGACTTGATCTGGGCAAGGTGACCTCTCAACTCTACCAAGTGTTTGTCTTTCCTTATGTCACCACTTCAGATATACACCTTGATGCATGCAACTCTGTGTGATTGTAATTGTACAACTACAGTTGTTGGCACCTCCTCTTAAACTGCTTCAGAACGGCTTCAGCATGAATGTGCAATGCAATACGAGGCAATAGGCATACATACGGTATATTGAGAAGTTTGTTTTAGTTTGCATTAATCACACAGGTTTTGTAATATGACATAATAGTTTCTAAACTATGGTTTCTGTGTATCATCAGCAGTAGGGATCAAAATTGAGCCTTTTTTATTATTATTCCAATAAGCATAAAGGCATCCTCATTAGAAAGTCAGGAAAAAAAGAGAAGTATATTTGAAATCATCTTTAAAAAATTAGGCTTAAACTCTCAGTAATGTATGTTTCCTAGTTCATTAATGTAGAAATACTGCACATAGATTTTAATCTTGGAGTTAATAATAAAAGCAATTTTCACTAAAAATATAAAAACTGTAATGGTAGAATCATGATATTGCATTTAGCTCTTCCACACACAAAAAGTCACTTTATTACTTTCTTTTGACACTTATTTTCATTCTGGGATTAATTTTACTATATAAGGGCTTCTTAACTATTCTATTAAAATTTCCATTCAGAAGCAATAATATCTAAGAGTGAATAATGGTCATGTAAATCATTATTTCATATTAATGTAAAAGATTTTGTACGTTCTTATGAATTTTGCTGACATGCACAATTGTGAAAAGGTTATCTCCACTTTCTGCAGTGATATGCGCTGGAACAAAGGAACTATTTTAAAAGCATCGGTGGAGTATATCAAGTGGTTACAAAAAGAACAACAAAGAGGCAGAGAATTAGAGCATAGACAGAAGAAATTAGAACAGGCCAATAGGAGGCTTTTGCTTCGAATTCAGGTTTGTATCGGGATGGACCCGTTTGGGGTCGAGTTTCCTCTCCCCCCCCCCGCCCCTGCTTCTCCATCATCAAATTGTGTCTTGCAGTATCTTCCCAATCATCCATAGTACTTTAACAGAACAATGCTGAAAAATCTTACTGACTGCAGTATTTAATTTGTGCAGCAGTACTTGTAGGGCTAGCCGCACAACAGTGTATATTGCGGTGGTTTAGAGGGGAATACTGTAAGGACATTATGCCCTTTGTGTATATTGGACCTAGGTAAAATCCACAGTATTGAAGGTGGGGAGGGGGGGGAACCACTCCTTATTTCATTTGTTTGTTGAAAATAGTATTTGAACACTCAAGACTCCAGGATATCGCATAGCACTTTGAAAAATGCCCGTGACATTGTGTTACCTTGGGGTATGTTGTGCCACGTCAAATTAAGGCACACATCATCTTTCCGCGGCTTTCTGTAGCAGAGCGCACATGATTTATAACATATTTAATTGGGTAAGGTATCTGGTGTGCTTCTAGATAGCATTCCTGAATTTTGGTAGATAATTAGCAAGTAGAAACGCTGGCAGGATTTTCTCATCACTTCTAAGTACTTAATGCAGGGCACAATCCATTGAAAATTAAGCTGCTGATTTCAGTGGGGGAGATTAAGCATATGCTTAACTCTCCCATTAAAATCAAGGCAACTCCAAAGGGCTTAGGTTTGGCTGGATCATGCATCCAACCGTTGATCCAGTCACAATTAGTCATTCTTAGGAGCCATTGATTTAAATGAGAAATTAAAGGTTACAATCTTGTACTCACACCTTGGAGTAAGCCCACGGAACTCTATGGGACTTACCTCTGAGTAGACCTATTAGTAAGCCCTGCTGAGTTTAACAGGTCATAGTAGATGGTTAAATATCTATGATTACATTGTAATTTTCTCACTGAAATAATGGAATTAAAATAACTTTGGGTGGATTGAGACGCAATGTAAATAGATGTCCATTGTGCGTAGCCATGGTACTCCTTTCAACAACATGGTTCGTTGGGGAAAAAAATTTAAACACTGAAGTCTCCAATATACTCTTTTATGCTTTGAAAATGCCGATGATATTGCCAGTTTTCAAACATATCAATAAAGTGACTTGTCATAATGAGAATGAGTCTTAGGATTCTGCACCCACTGTTTCCCTCTTCTTCTCTGCCACGACTGTGAGGAGATCAGAACATTTTACTTCCATTTCCAATTAATTATATGTTAGCTTTATGTCTGAATTGTAGTTAAACTAAATATGGTTTATTGAAATGCATTAACTAATAAGCCATGGTTTGTAGTAGGTTAATTTCTGTAAGCTACAGTTAACACTAACCACAGTTTGTTGAATTTGTTGAAATTTGAACATAACACTAAACAGTGGTTAGCAAAAAACCCCGAGGTTTTCCAGTATCCTCCTCCTAGTTCTCCCAGGCTCATTGCCATCATGACAAACCATAGTTAATCATAATGTCCACATGCCCCTATCATGCTAACCATAGTTCAGTATAACATTTACGAGCCTGAACAGCCTTGTGTGTTCCCCTGTCCTCAAAGAAGGGCGGAAGAAGGATTTTGTCAGTGTGTAGTTTCACTTCCACAGTATCCTGGATTGCCATTATGCAAGAAGCAGAGTTTGTGGTTTAAAGCAAACTCTGGCTCATTAAACAAGCCAGCTTCACAACCTACTGTGTTCTAGTGCAGTTTTGCCCTACCTGGTACCTGCCACCTGTTGTAGGACTCAAGCTTCTATCAGCCCCAGCAAACATGTCCAGTGGTCAAGGATGATGGTGGGTTTAGTTCAAAACACCTATAGGGCATCAGGTTGTGGAAGCCTGGTTTAGTATGACGTGTGAACATCACTGTTATGCTACTAAAAAACAACATGCTGTACAATGTTTGTCAGTAGTATGAATATTGCACATTTTAAACATACTGTCAAAATAGATTTCAGAATTATTTCAGATGTAGCTTTCAATTCCCTCATTATCACATCTCAGACTACAGCAGAGATGGGAACCTCTGTGACATTCCAAATATTGTTGGAGTACACTTCTAATTATCCCTGACCATTGGCCATGTTGACTGGGACTGATGGGAGTTTGAGTCCAACAACATCTGGTAGGCCGCAGTTTCCCCATTCTGGTTCACGGAAACAAAATCAACTCACCTTTTACAGTGATGTTCTAAATATTTTTATTTTTTTTAAAATAAATTTTTATTAGATTTTCCACCGTGATAACACAAACCACAAAGCAAGATGATACACAAAAACAGAAAAGGAAAAAGGAAAAAGAAGAAAGAGGGGGGAACAATAAACAGATAGACAATAATAACAAACTTAATTCTTCACAAATCCAACCTTTTAAACATCTTGGTTGACTTCCTCAAATCCCTCCCTTCTGAGTTTCCTTGTAATTAAAAGTAACAGCTTTCCATTATCATTATTAATCTAAAACAATTTCCAATTATAGTCCATCTTATTCACTTTTCTTAACATTCTGAATCCCATTTATTTAATTATAACTTAATTTAATCCTAGGCCTATTTGTTTCTTTCAAGTAATTTCTAATTTTTAATTTTGATGTTCTAAATATTATTGTCTTAAACCACAGGAACTAGAAATACAAGCACGAGCTCATGGCCTGCCAATCATGCCTACAATCAGCACGGTGGACTTAGCATCCCATGTCATGAAACAGCAGGTCTATCAAGAAGAGAATTCAGTAGACTATTCTCAACATCTTGCTGTGGTCCACGAGCAACACGCTGACCTTGGTGATGCCTCTGCAGCCTTTTCGGATCCACTCTCGCACTTTACAGATTTGTCTTTCAGTGCCGCTTTGAAAGAGCAGAGGTTGGATGACATATTACTGGACGATACAATATCACCATTTGGGACAGATCCACTCTTATCCTCTGTGTCTCCTGCTGTGTCCAAAGGTAGCAGCAGAAGAAGTAGCTTCAGTTCAGATGATGGAGATGATGTATAGCACGGAAAAGACGGCATAGTTTGGGTGCTGCTGCTTTGTTTTGTTTTGACTTCGTTGGTGCTAAGAAAATTATGAAACGTATTTATGTTGTTGCTCAGCTCAACTGGAAAAAGAAAGGAGTCAGCTGTTGTTGAGAGAACCTCCCTGGGAATATATAGTTTAGGTGTGTGCATACAACACAGATGAGCAATAGAGTGAAATGCAGTGCTATTTTTATAGAAAAAGAGGTTCCGGAAGTCACCTCCCTTGTTCTCTTAGAATGGCACCTGAGACATGCCAGAACCCACCTGAGAGGTGCGAGAATTGAGTTCCTGTGAGTTCCCCCTGAAACAAAGCTCTGGTGAAAAGCATATCTTTGGTTGGAAGTGATCACAGTAACACGGATATTTCACAGCTGACACTTTGCAATGGATAAGATCTAGACTTAGTCATGCCACTGAAATTTGTAGGAATCCATTAAGTTAAGACTAACTTCAGTTTTATTGATTTCAATGGATCTGCTCTCAGTGTGACCCAGTCTGGATCCAATCCACTGATTCATATTTATTTACTAATAATGCTGCAGGTGTGTTTCCTTGCAATTTATACACCAATATTGTACCCAGTGCTTTTTTCTAGACAAACAGGTGCCGGTATTCACCAGGAAGTTGTTACAGTAAGTGCCACACTTTTTAACAACAACAAAAAGAGGTGCCTGTACTGCAAACCTTTGAATACCCCCTGGGAAAAAAGCACTGGTTGTATCCCAAAAAACCAGTGAACTACTGTCGGGGCTGTGTTGGGCCCAAGGGCAGCCATACATGACTCAAGATTTGGAGATGGGTATACCAATTTGGGAGCCTGAAGTAAGAGATGGTGAAGCCACAATCTGAAGTACAGCAAGCAGATGGTACTGTTCTGTTGACCAATCAAAGGCAAAAAGCTAGGCTGCTACTGTTTATAACAGAATCTGTTATTCCCAAAGGAGCTGAGAATGGCCGCTTACCCGGTTCAAGGGTGGACGGTGGTTGGATCCTGTCGCAAAGACTCTGGGACTGACCAGAGCACCGCCACCTTCCTGTTAGCTCTATTCCTGGCTGCCATGGAGCAACATGGGTCCCTGTCAGACCTGGTTTGAATTTCAGCCAATCCATGGTGGCCTGGAGGTGGGCATTCAGGAGCCGACCTTGGAGCGGTAGTTTTCAGTCCGGTCTGCTCCTGGACCATATAAACTGGCCAGCACTGCTCTCCCAAAGGAGCTGAGAATATTCTTGGTCTACAGTAGCTAACCAAGCTAGGCCTGAAACTGAGAGGCACCTGGTTTAAGCACTGGAGTCTCTGTCACTGCTAAGGAAAATACATCCTAGGGCTGTGCTAAATAACCGATATCACCCACCTTTCCCAAAGTGAATGAGACACATTAGATAATGTGTTTATCAGGGCTGAATTGAGACGGTTGCCAATTTTGCAGGCTGGGGAGATGGGCTTTTCAACTGTTTTGGGAGATGAAGATGAGAGCCAGTGTGGTGTAGTGGTTAAGAGCGGTGGACTCGTAATCTGGTTAACCGGGTTTGCTTCCCTGCTCCTCCACATGCAGCTGTTGGGTGACCTGAGGCTAGTCACACTTCTCTGAAGTCTCTCAGCCTCACTTTCACTCGCAGCCCCAATTCCTCATAAAACAATTCTTTGTGAAAAGGTAACATTGTTCCAGGAGCATTGTGAGAGTAAATTGGCCACTAGCATCCTGGGAGGACCCGCTGCCATGAAGCTGAAAGTAGTGGCAAGAAAAGAAAAGAAAAATCCCTATTTCACCTCCTTTTTATGCCCCTGAATCTCCCCCATCCCCACAATTTGAGGAAAAGCTCCTTATGGGCTCAGTCCTAATGTTTGGTGATTTATAAACGACATATAGATACTGGTTCCAAAACTCTGGAGAATGGGAATATTATCCAACTGGAGAGTTAGTTAATACAAGTTAGATAATACATATTAAAGACTTTCTATCTCTCTATCTGGGATGTTGTTTGTCCCTTAATGCAGCAGGAATGTTGAAGAATTTATTTATTTTTTAAAAAAATGAAATGGCAATGCTTAAAACATTGTTTTGCAGTTTATGGAAATCTGTTACCTGAAAAATTCAAGTATTTTCACATTATTGATCAGAGAAAGGAATCGATAAAGTTATGTCGGTCAAATAGACTAGAAAAGATGCATAATTCCTGCAATTATGATGTTACATATCATACACAATTAAGGCTGCAGTTCTATGAACAGTTACCTGGGGGAAATCTTACTGAATTCATTGTCCTGTTTCTGAGTAGACATGAATAGGGTTGAACTGTGAACAATGCAAAAAGCAGCGAGCTTAGTGCACAACTTTATACTCTTTGGAGTCAGTAATCATTAGATTATAATATTATTTTCAACCATAATAATTGCAGCTAAGTAATATTTAAGAAGTGTAGCTTGTTTACTTTGCTGTACTATGGTATGTCTTGTTCCCCTTGCCAACGTTTTATGCTAAAACTACAGTACAGACAGATGTGGGGTTTAACTTTCTGGTGATATTTTATCAGTCTAGATTTACTATCCAAAAGGTGACCTTGGAATCGCAGCAGATTATTAGGGTAACTATATGTGTTAAGGTGGTAATACACTTGTAATGGTACATATAGATTAATGAAATAATAGAGGTTTAGCAGTAAGAGGGCATGGGTTACTCACATCATTTTCATATCTAGAGGGATCATGGAGAATAGTGTGGGTTGTTGAACTGAATAAATAGAATAATTCTATATCAAATACTAATAATCAGGAAATAAGCTGGCATTCATCCGCCCCCAACTTTGCACTTAGAAAAGTTAAGTGATGTTTCAGAAGTGGAAAGTGAGAATTTCAGATTGGCCTTTCATAGAAATCACATTATTTTAAAGACATTGGTGGACAAGTCCTTAATGGAGATAAAGAAATTAAATATGAATGTTCTACATGGTTTTCTCATTCAGCTTCTATGGGCGTGCTTGGTCGTTCCTTTGAACTCTGGATTTTAGGAGATACTGAATCTCCTTACTTCTCTGAAAAAGACATTGCAGTACCCATGCATAAGTGTTTCAAATGTTCGTTTTGAATTTTATTTATTTATTTTTTAAAAAGCAATTCCATTATATAACACGAGCAGACAAATCTCCCAACTGTCGGATTATATGGCTGCCATTTGAATGGACAGCAACCCAGCGCAGGTTGAAATCTCTAGTATGCTTGGTCACACTCAGGTTTTGCACCAATCTCAAAAATAATTGCTGTGCAAATTGTGTTAAGTATCTGCATAGTGCCTTTGGCTACAGGCCTTTGTTATTTTACTGACACTCAGCACCTGGCAAGATCAAACCCTGGGAGATCTCATATAGAGCTCTTTATAGAAAGGAGATGGAACTTCCTGTCTTAGTTCATACAACATTCCCCGGAATGGGAAAGGAAAGCAGACCAGATTAATATTTGAGTGTATGCTACAAGTGTAGTTTATGAGAAATATGTCCGAGAGGCTTCCAATACAGCTTTAATCAAGTCTTAGTAATAGGTATGTACTGTTCATATGGTGGAGGCCTTAGGAACTGAAATATTCATTGGAGCAGAAGGGCTGGTTAGCTCCCCACCCCACAAGCTAATAACAGACATTCGAGAATTATCTTGTTCTTCCAGAATACATGGACCAGTAAACTTATCGTTATGCAAAATGAGGAACTGAAATATTGCTGTCTTGTCTAATTTGTGAAATGGACACAGGTCCTCACTGAACAACAACAACAAAAATCCTGAACCCTAGAGTGTTTTATTGTAGATATCAAATGCTAAAAGTGAAACCATTTTTTAAGAGCTAGAAATGCTGTTGCTTTATACTATAAAGGGCTGAGAATAATTCCGCCACTTAATCTTAATAAGAACATTGTTATTATAATACATTTGACTGTAATAGGGTTGTATATAAAAACGGAGAATGTAAAATTATTGTAATTTAAAATTATGTTAAGTCTTTTAGATCAGTTAAGACATTTACATTGCTATTATGAGACTGTAGAGTCATTTTTATAGTAATTGCTATTTTCTCCTGTTAATACAAATCTCTTGTTTTCTAAGTATGCGACAGAAGGTGCTTTATTTCCTACCTTTATGCAATCTTTATTAAAACTACTTTTAATATGGGCTGGTATTTATATTTATTATAGGTATACAATTCTCAAGCAAAAGTAAAATAGGTCTTTGTAAAGCCCACATGAAGTTGTTTTGTTCAGACTGACAATAAGCATCACATCCAGCGAGACAATATAATAACACCAGCTAAGCACATCTGAGAGGGTACCCAGCAGAGACAAAGTCGAACAACAGCTAAACACTGCATCCATTATAAGACATCATGATCCAGTAGCTTCCCATTATACATTTAATACGATCTCCTCCTTTCTGTTTATTCCTGCTGCTAAGGCTTTGATTTATGGGAAACATTTTTAAAATGTTGCGGACTTGCTAGCAGGCAAGATGATATCAGTTAATTCATGAAGAAGTACTGGAAACCCTTTTTAATATACTAGATGTTCCCCAGACAAGCTAGGATAAACAATCTGGTACTTTAGGATGTAAAACATTTCAGAAAGCCGATAATTAGACAACATTTTGGCACTTGGAAGATACCCATGTTTAATGAACTTTAGTAAGGATTTGCTTGTTAACGTTTAAAACTCCTGGTACTAAGAGTACTTCCATTCTTGGAATGCATGTGCTAGCTTATGTATATCATAGAATGGCGCACTGTGATTAAATATGAATACAATTTAGAAAAGTTTTGTAGTCTTGGTGGTGCACATTTTAAAACACAGGTTTTTTATTATTATTTTAGAGACCATTAGTCATACATCAGATTTATTTGCTTTGGAGTTGTTTAATTATAACTCTTTTAATTATTGTGTTGCAAACAGTGGAGGCTAATTAGCACTCTTGCAGTTAATTTTGAATTTGATGAACTAGAAAAGGAAATGTGACTCTCGTGTGTGGTAACACACTAGGGATCTGAATCTGCAAAGGGCTTAGTGCATTTTAATCCAAAGAATGCTCAGCACCTGGTAGAATGGAGCCGTTAAAGGTTATATACAGCATGGAGAAATTGAATCACAATATTCAAATTAAGAAAACATTGCATGCTGCCTACCTGATTAGAGACAGTGATATTACAAAAGCGCTTACAATCAAATTTGATGTCAGCATCCTGTGTATTGACAGACAATGCCGATTAGAGACACACCTGTGAAGTTTTGATACTAATCAGTGTCAGGACCACAAATTTAATCAGGGATGCTCTGGTAGTTAAGTGCCAAGTGGTCTCGGTTAAATCACTGATACCCATCAACTTAAATATATATCACTTTCATTAATTGGCAACTACAAGACAAGTGTAGAATGCTCAGGATGGCAATGATTCTGATATAATCCACCACATTGTGGTTAAGTATATGATTCATGTAATAAAAAAATGGTGCCTGCAGGCTATTGTTCCTAGCATGGATTAAAATTTGCATATTGCTTCTCCTTATGTCAAAACATCTGGTGTCTGCAAATGCTAACATTTCGTTAAAAAGTTTCATGAGCCAGGAAAAGTGGACTGGAAATATTGCATGTGACTCATTCGAGCATTATAATTGAATAAGAGGCTAGGTTAGAGTGAGAGAAAGTGCTGAAAAACAATTGTATGGTGAGCATTATAGATTCATGGGGAGGGCATATACTGTAGGAGATAGGAACATTTCTCATATTGTACAAGAACTAGCTTTTTCTTCCAGATTTCATTAAAAATGACAATTGTTCTTATTGAGGTCATATGTGACACTGGTGTGTCATTATTAAGATAATATGAAGATATTAATTTATGTCTGAAATTTAAGGGGAATATTTTACTCAGCTGACATTAATTCAAATGCAGAATGCCCTGCAATGTTATTCTTGGCACCCACTGCAAACCTTTATAAACATACAACACACCTGTCCAGAACAAGGGATAAAAAGAACAAGGACCAGGGGGCAGGATAATAGCAACATCTGCTTCCCTCCTTTCAGTTTATGTAGCCTGGGGACAGGGGTTAGAAGCTCCAGAAACCCAAGAAATTGGACCCAGTGAGAGTAGGGTGACAGACCCTATATAGGGTAGCACAGTCACCCATTCTATATATTTTACATTGCAACACACATAAATAATTATGCCTCAGCAGGGACCTCTCTCAGGGTCCTTAGATCATTGCAAATCTAGCGACTGTGTTGGTAAGATTTTTGAAATATTAAGTGGTACAGACATGCTTTTATCTAAACAATCAAATACATTTACTTAGGGGAAAGTCATTGCAAGGGTGAAGACAGAAGAATATGCATGCGTGACACTGTGGAGCAATCAACAAGTGGCCAAGGGACTGAGGTTGTGTCCCTTGTGTTCATGAACCCCATGGTGAAAGAGTTATATGTGTACACACTGTAGGTGCTTAGGCTTGGTTTGTGCAAAAAAATTCCGTCCCTGATCATGCAGAAAGAGTCTATACACACTCCATTTGTGAGTGTGGAGGTCCTTTCACAAGTTGGCCTGAGAGTGCGAACGGGGAAGCAGAGCTTGTGATCACAATCTCACGTGCAGCCTCTGTGAACTTCTCCAAATCTTCCTCCCCACATCCCAAGGATCCTTGGAACACCAAGAAGTCCTTTACCTTCATTGACTCCTGGTAGGCCTAGCACTCAGACAGACATTAGAGCTCTTATCATCATGGGATCCCTTCTATGACATAGCTTTACAGTAAATACCCAACATTGCACATAGATCTGTGTGCTGTGTCCCTGGTGAAACCAGCTTTCCTGCTCAGGTAGTTTCTCTCACCCCTCAGTCTTTCCTTTCACCTCTCTTACCTTTTACGGCTCCTTTGGGGAAGTGCTTGCTCATTCCCCTAGGCCTTGCCCCCCTGTCCAAGCCTTCCCTCTTTTGTCTTCACTATCCACCATATTTATGCTTCCCCACCTGAGAACTTCTATCTCACTGGCATCTCTTCCACATCTCTGCTCCTTTTATTCTAAGCTCCTCCTCCCTGGGATTGGTCTCAGAAATGGTAGCTGTTAGCATGTCTATCTTACTGGCGATTGTGTATCTCCCTTTTCTCCAGAGTGTGGCCTTGCCACACTTTCAAGCACATCTCACTCTGTCTTGGAGCAGAATGAGAAGCTCTTAAGAGTGTCTGGTATGCCACTGCCCTGGCATCTCCTCACACCATAATTCTCGTTGTACACCATTGTAATATACATACAGTCCTAGGACCAAAGTAGATGTGATGCTAAATGAGTTACTTGAAATACAATAATTGTCGTTGTCCCCCTGAGTATTAATAATGTGATGGCCTGGGAATCCGATTCAGAGGCTGAACCGGAGGAATCCCAGCCTGCACAGGAGTCCCCGCCTCCAGGGCCGGCTGAACTGGGACAGGGCCTTGATTCTGAAGCACCTGCACCTGTGTCGGATCCTCAGGAGCAGGCACCAGGTGAATCCACTCTAGCTCCGGAGGTGGTTGAGGACTCAGTGCCTACAGGTGAGTCTCCCCCTGGGTCCAGTAACCCTTCAGCCTCTCCTGAACTGCAGAGGCTCAGGGCAGAGAGGCGGAGGGAACTGGTTTCTCCCAGGAGGAGTGCTCGCCTTAAGGCCAGAAGAGGCAGGTCTCCTGGGGGCCGGGACCGCCCCCTGGCCTCAGAGAAGATAAAGGCCAGTCAGCCCGGTTCCAGGTTGCAGGAGCAACGTCGTTGAAGAGCTGTTTCGGCCAGCACCCAGTCCAGTCCCCCCAGAGTTCCTGTCCTTGCCCGGCTCCTTGCTGTGGACCTCGCTTCGCCCGTGGAGGACTGTCTGCCGACCCTCAACTCAGGTCCTGGACCTCGCCTCATGGTAACCTCCCCCCTGGACCAGCACAAATAACTTCGGTGGAGGGTGTCATCTGAGTCCACAGCATGTTGGAACCACAGTGCACGGGAAGGACAGCTATAGTCCCAACAAAAATTGTGCACGCATATGGACCCATGGGAGCTATTAGTCCTGGAAGGCACATTCCCGTAAGTGTCTTTGCTCTCTAGAGGTAATAGCCACCAGAGGAGAATATTTTTCATCAGAACCAGAGCAGAAGCGGAAATAGTGAATGCCTTCTGGGGCCCTTTGCTCCTGGTTGGAATCTCCTGCCCCACAGCTGCTGTTAACACTTGAGATGACACATGTGACCCCCTCGGCATTCATTCTAAGTGAAATCTGTGGACGTGGAGCAAACACATTTGCTGCATTTCCAGGCATTTGTTTTTCTGAAAATGAAACGTGTGTTCTTGCAACTTCATATGTCTATTTGTCTCTTGCCATGGTCCTAAATGTGTCAGCACTGAAACGGGCCATATGGAACAATGTCTACTGAATCATAGTTTCAAAAATGCCATTCGTAAAAGTTCCTGGAAGACTTAGCATCCCTCCCCTCTTTGCCGATATATCTGTCATTAACATATATTTCCACATTTGGAAGGCTTTTGCTGACCGTCAGAACAAAGCCCTTGATACTAAAATACTATATTACTATATTCATATAATCTAAGAATACCAGTTTAACACTTACAGCATCAGAATGTTAAGAGCTTGGTATCCTCTTCATGCCCTTGCTAGATACTATGTCCATAAATTGGCATTCAAAATGGTTCAGGCTTGGACATATACCAGGTACAGTGGTACCTCTGGTTATGAACTTAATTCATTCCGGAGGTCTGTTCTTAACCTGAAACCATTCTTAACCTAAGGTACCACTTTAGCTAATGTGGCCTCCTGCTGCTGCCGCCACCGCATGATTTCTGTTCTCATCCTGAGGTAAAGTTCTTAACCTGAGGTACTACTTCTGGGTTAGCGGAGTCTGTAACCCAAAGTGTTTGTAACCTGGGTTGTTTGTAACCCGAGGTACCACTGTATTTTGATGTCAGGCATACTGAGCACCATTATACCTATTAACTGACATCTGCCATTCAATCCCATGCATGTTTCCTCAGGGGTAAACCCCACTGTGCTGAATGGGGCTTAATCTGAGGTAAATACATATACAACTACAGTCTCTCAATGATTACAAACGTTTGCTAGAGAACTGCAGTTATATAATTTGCTTCGCTTTAAA